TTTTTTTGAGACAAGGTCTCACTCTTTTGACCAGGCTGCAGTACAGTGTTGCAATCATAGCTCACTTTTAGCCTCAACCTCCCAGGTTCAAGCAATTTTCCCACCTCAGCTCCCAAGTAACTGAAACTTCAGGTGCATGCCACTACAGCCAGCTAATTTTTAAAAAATTTTTCTATTGCCCAGGCTGGTTTTGAACTCCTGGGCTCAAGCAATCCTCCTGCCTCAGCCTCCCAAAGTGCTGGTATTACAGGTGTGGGCCACCATGCCAAGCCTTATGGTTAGTTCTTAATTTAAGCATCATTCTTAATCTACCCAACCACTACCAAAATAACAACATCAAAATCATTAGTAATCATGAACTCAAAACTAAGCTTCAAGTAATATCTGACAAGGTTTTCCCCATTCATGGGGGGAGTTTTTTTTTCCCCTGCAAAGACTAAAACCAACCAAAACCAAAACAAAACAAAACAAAACAAACCCAACCCCAGAATAGATTCTTGTTTAATTCTGTGACAATTTCTCTAATTCTGACACACAAAACAGATTCAAGGCCAGGCAGTTGGTGGGAATGAGGCCCAAGCACCTGCCAGTGTGAGACTGGCTTCAGCTCAAGTCTACTTCGTAACTCAGGTCCAGGATGGGGAGCTTGAAAGGGTGCCAACAGTGAGACACTTCGCTGAGACAGCGAAGTGAGCAGTGTCGGTATGTCCAGGCAGGCAGCAACGCAGTGGTCAGTAGCACCCTCCAGGCGTCAGCAGAGCAAAGCTGGGCACATGCAAAAGAATGCTTAGGGCCACTTCACACATCCAATATATGAGGCAAGGCAATCAGAGTTAAGGCAGTTCTAATATTTAGGAGGCCAATTATTTCAATAGCCTTTCATACATTTTTTTATCAAGCCAAGAGCACTGAATCATATTAAGTTATTCAAAATCAATAGTTGAATTATCTTGTGTTACAATGGCAACACTTAGCTTTAAAGAAATAATTTCTCTTTTTGTCACTTTTACCTACACGTCCCACCTGTATTATGGATACGCTTTTAACATATATCCTCTAAAACCACCTTCAGGTCAACAGGGGAGGGAAGTTAGTTTCTCTTCTCTGCAACTATCACCTGTGGAATTATCCAAAGTCAAGTCCACCCACTATACTAATACCTTTATTTAGGTAGAATGTTGCATTTTTCCAGAGCCCTTTCAGGCTGTTTTCTTTCAGTAATGCTTCATAAACTCTAAGGTCCTCATACATATTAGCAAAGTCACTGTAGGTTCCCATGGTCAGGACCCTCTGGCACATCCTCTTCCCCATGCAGCTTACCAGGTATCAGCCCGCTCATGATCTTGACGTGCTCACCACGTGAGATGCAAAAAGCACAGCTGTCTCCTTGGCTCTGCTCACACCAAAGACTGGCCTAGTCCTCTACCATATCCACATCCAGGACTTCACTTCTACCGTTATCCTCTCTCTCCCCCAGACCATCTTGTCCTCCCTCACAGGACCATTCCATTGGTGAGCAAACATACTTTAGTACTACCCACCTTAAACCTCACCCCCTATGCATGCCACTGACTTCAGCTAGCTCCCCTTTACCCCCTTTCCACATTAAGAACTCTGCAAAGCCTTCACTATGCTTGCAACCCCCACTGCCCAGCTCTCATTCTCTCCTCCATCTATTCCAGATGGGCCTCATCCCCATAGAACATTCTCAACCACCCACCTCTGTCAAAGCCCATGATCAACTGGCTGCTTTCCTACCCAATACTCATCCCCAGGCACTCAGGATACACATTTCTCTGGTTTTCCTCCTCACTCGCTGGCCACCCTTTCTCAGCATCTCTTCCATCACTTGTGGAGATTGTCCTCTCTAGGTAAGCCCATCCTGTGGCTTTAAATACAATTGTCCAACACACTGATGGCTCTTAAATTTTTATCCCATTCCCATGCTTCCGTTCATCCTTTACCTCTCCAAATCTACCTGGCCTTCCAGCAAGGGCATCAGAGCTTCCTAATTCCTACCACCCTTGAGCAAATCAAAAGAGGAAGTAGACTGCAGAGAGGGAGAAAAGTCTAAAAGCCTAGCACTAATTGTAAAGAACAGATCATAACCTTCAGGACAAAGGTAAGAAAGAAAATTTCTAGAAATTTAAATTTAATATAACTCTTAAAATTCTCAATGATTAAAACTAGTTTGCTATAAAATCTGATTCACTTCTTGGGTTTGCAGTGTTTTAATTAAAAAGACTTACCCTAAATAGTAACCCTGCCAAGCTCTGGGCAAACAAGTCCTTTATTTGTTTATCCTTTGGCTTCTGCATGACAGCTTCTGTTATCCTGAGTAGTATTTGCAACATCTGTTCCCTGGGCCACCCAAAATAAAAGCTCATATTAATAATCACGTCTCCAAAGCACTTTATAGATACTAGAAATCTCTTAAGAATTCAGCAACATTGATAATCATATATTACTAAAAACTATTAAAGTCCAAATGCCAATTACATAATGAATATCATATTTTATCAAAATAAGCTCCCTTATGTTATAACAGTTGTAAAAATATGCCTCCCATGTCCACACAAACAGGCAGGATAAAACATATCATTCCAGCCTGATTTTTCCTTCCTGCAAAAAGGGAGGCAAGATTGTCTTCTCCAACTGTGCCAGCACCTTAAAGGTACTCAATGAAAACCTACTGGAACGTACGCAGCACTCTTTAATTTTGCTATAAATTGTTTTATTAAACCTGTAAGGTCTCCCTATCTTTGCAACAGGAAATGAACTTGACTTTCTGGTCTTTATTTTGGGGACATATGCAGTCAGTATCTTGGTACGGCGGAATGCCACAGTACTCTCACAGGCAGGAGGGGTTTGCATTACGGGACACCTACAGGCACAGTGCTCGTGTCTGGAAGATCCTATGAGCTACAGGACACAACAGAGACAAATGTCATCACTGCAGCTCAGTTCCAATGTGTCCGCATTTTCTCACAGGTGGTTTTATGTAAAAGGACTTTGAAGACTATAAAACAGTATAGAGACAACATGACACTGCTAACTACAGTGCATTCTTCAGAACAGCCAAAAGACATTTTTCTTTCCTACACCTAAGTTATATTGCTTATATTAGAGTATCTGCTCACTTTTTATTTCCCTGGATTCCATGAGAACAGAGAACACATTATCTTTCATACGTAAGAGAGGTACACTTGTTCTCCAAAGGAAATCACTCTGGTTCGTTTCAGATTTCACATGCTAACCATTCATCTAATCTTGACTACTCTCTCCTTGGCTTTACTGTTCTTCACTAGTAAAACTGAGAATAGAACAAAGTAATCAGATGAGGTCTCTAAATCATAGTTTCTGTATACTTTTCTCATATCACTGTGTATCAGAAGAACATTTTCTCTTAACAATATATGATGCTGAACCTAATAAAATTCCTCACAGTAAAATCACCTGTAGGGATTTCCTGCCCTCTCAGTAGCTGGTGCCATTTGATTTTGGTCCCCAGAGTCATCTGTTGGCATACATTCTCACTGCACTCCATGCTACTTGTCTATGTGGTCCTATTCCCTGCTTATGGATTCTGGAAGCACAGAAGAGGAAGGGCTATCTTCTGGGCACACATGTATGAAGTAGGACAGTGACTTTGAAGAGAACTGGGAGAAGAAATGGCAGAGTGTAGGGACAGCCTGTTGCTCACCACATTCAGGGCACCCAGGCCCCTGCTGCTGGGGGAAAGGAGGGCAGCACCCAGTATCACCACTGCCTATTCATGTTACATGATGCATAAGACAATGAAAAACAATCCCTTGCATACAACTAGTTACATACGCATAATGAGAATGTGATGAGAACAGCAGACATCATAAATTTCAAGTAAAACCTTGATCATGGCAACTGCTATCAAAAGCTACAAATGTGACTGAAGCCATGACTGACAAAAACACAGTAAGTTGATTTTTGAACCTATGAAAGCTTGGAAAGGCATGAAATTCCCATGCAGAGTCTTCTGGAAAAAAACGAGGGTGGAAAAACTACAGTTTGGAAAACTCTTTCCTAATGGTAGAAAGATTCACGACCTGCCAAAGCAGCCAGTGTTGATAGCCGCTTGGTCCTTTCTGTTTTGTGAAGCACTAACTTCTCCAAGGAAAACTGCTCAAAGAGTGTATCAAACTGCTGTTGGAGCACACGGAATCAGGCATGTGTGCCATCCTTGGGTCCAACACAGGAGTGAGGGTTTTCCTACATTCTTTATTATTTACCTGATCTCTATCTCCTCAAACAGGTGACATTCTGACTCATTTACATACCAGTTATTCTCTATTTCAGGACCACTTCTTACAGTTCCCTGGCTACAGCCCTGGTCTCGGCCATCATCACCTATGGCACTCCACTGCATGTTCTCCAGCAGCCAGAGGGGCCTTTCAGAAACGTAAATTGTATTATGTCACACTCTTGCGCATACACAGAGGTAGCTGGTGTCCTTTCTTTGGTCTGCAGGGTCCTGAGCAACTTGGTCCTGGCCTTCCCCCCCTTCCAACCCCCACTCTCCCTCTCACTCCATCCACTCCACCACACTGTCCATCATCTTGTCCTTCCTTAAACAAGCCACTTTTCTTTTACCTTTTCTCCCATCAGGGCTTTTGCATCTGTTCTTTCTTTCAGGAATGCTCTTCCCTTAGACCTCCCCAAGGCTCCTCCTTCCCTTCACTTAGGGCTCTGCTCAGAAAGGCCTTCTCTGACAACTGACAGAAATAACTCCCCCTCCCTCCATGCCAAGCAACACACACCCAATTCAGGACTCTTTTCCCCTTTCCAGCCTTTGCTGTTCTCAGCACTTCAGATTTTCTGAAATTGTTTTTTAGGTTTTTAATGTCTCTCGGTCCTATGAGAATGTAACCTCATAAGGGCAGGGACCTTGTCTACATAGTTTACCATTATATTCTCATAGTAGAAGCTTGATAGTTATTTATTAGATGGAAGAAAAGGAGGTAAGGAGAGATGGGGAGAAAAGGGAGTGAGGAAGGAAAGGAGGAATGGAAGGCACGACATTTTCTCGTACTTAAACACACAAGAAAGTCTTTTAGAGAAACTGCTCACATTCCTTTCTATGCTCTACTAACCATTTTCCTGCTATTTTCATTGATTTCTATAATTTTTCTTTTCTATACATTTACCTAGGTATCTATGAATTAGTAAAAAACAGAACTACTTAATTTTATTTCCTAGAATTTTCACCAAAATAAAAAGATTATCAAAAATATCACTGATACAGGGGTATATAGAATTCAGGGAGTTTTCAAAGGAAAAGACACTAGAAATAACATTGATAAAACTATGGTATTGAAGAACAGATATTTCAGTTGAAAGCATACACCAGCATTTCTCATCACTGTCAATATTACTGATGTGGAATTTAACTTTGTTTACATTATATTGTGCATCACTGTTATACTTCCAGTTTTAACAATTGCTTAACTTGGCAAATAGTGCTAAGTTAGAAGTCTGGGAAAGATGGCATTAGAAACTACCTCATAGTATCATTTTGATGGCTGTGGTTTCTCGTACTTGTGAACTTTCTGCACACCAGGATTCTTGAGCGCACCCTTCCCTCATCTCTGAAGAGAAAGAATTGGACTTGGTGGTCTGCAGTTCCTTTCAGATCAGACCTGTATCGTGTCCATGGTTTCCTACCAACTGCAGACACTTTCTAAAGCCCCTTTCCTGCTGACTCAAGGATCTCCAGAATATAGGGGTGGGCAAAGGACCCCTCTGATTTCAGGTAGGGAAGGTGCCACTGGTCTGCAGGGCCTCCAAGGACTGGCAGCCAAGGCAGAAGATCACCTCGGGGGATGCTAACCACAGCCAGGTGGGCGGCTTGACTGCACAAGGGCGGCAGCGGAATAAGAGGGGATATGCAAAGGACAGGCTTGAGGAGCATTTTAAAGGCAGAAGTGACAGGCTGATGACACATAAGGAGAAGAGGAAGGAATGGAAAGTGACTCTGAGGCTTTCTGGTCTGTTGAGCATACTGAAAATACCTCATCAGATGGAGTAATGTGATGACTTTCAAATAGGAGAAGAGCAGGAAAAAAAATCTAATGCATTGTTTACCTGTAGGGACATTATAAATAAAAACACTGAACAAAAATGAGGATAAAAAGGACAAAATTTTGTAGTTTTAATGAGAGGAACATATTTTTGACTGCACTATGTATTTAGTATCTGATAATATAATATTTAAAACAATTGGTTTTCCAAAATGAATTTAAAACATCAAGTCTGAAGCAATAAAAATCAGATGACAGCATTTCAAGTCAATTAACAAACTCTCCTGAGCTTATGATGAATATTACAAAACACCAGTTATTGGTTTTCCATAAAACTATGTTTGATGAAAGTTTAAAATGGAAAAATCCACTACTGAGTAAAATAACTGCTTACTGTTCAAGAACATTTTTAAAAACAATAATGAAAATAATTGATCTATCAACGTACTGGGCAACTACCTCCTTCATAATTCACAGAAACTGTTACAAAAGACATTTTGTTGTTAACTTTGTAAAACCATTAAATAAATGGACTCCTTAACATTTTAATTATGTTGAAAAACAAAAACATCTGTTTTGCAATACTAATTCATTTGATATAAACTTACCATGTCTTTTTATTCATCGTAAGCTCCATTATTATGCGCCTAAAAATAATCAAAACAGCTTTACAAGCATCAACTTGTTCTTTCAAGAGCACAGGAACTTCAGCACATGGTTCCAATAAGAAGACGTTTGCAGAGTTCGTCAAAAATACCTTAAAATCAACAATTTTACATTAGAAAACATAACTGAACACATACATTTGAATTTTGCTTAAAGATTATATTAATTTCACTCTACCAAGGAAACCATCTTTGAGTTATTTCCAAAAGATCCTATTTCAATAAGGCAAGTGGTACCAACACATAAATTCACAATAAGGAAAAATTCATTAAGGTAAGTGGTACCAAAACATATTCAAAAATTTATTTAGTTCACCCTTTAGAATCATTTAAATACTGAGACACCGGAAAAGCCTTTTCTTAGCGGAAAAACATCACTATTACATATTAGTATTGCAAGTATAGAAATTTGATGAATTAGAAAAGCTTCTGAATACTTCTTTTCAACAACCCCTCAAGAACAACAACAACAAATGAGGGAAAAAAGTGGGCTCGTTGCATCTGGGTAAAAACTTTAGGGAGGAAATGGGAGAAGAAGATAGATGGCCAGACAGTGATTAGACGAACTATGTGACTCCTATTTAGGAGTCTTCCAGTGCATGAACTCCTTGCTGACAGAAGCACGAACGGCACCCCTCACCAGGGGTAAGAACCTCAAGGAGCTATGGTGTGCTCAGAAACAGAAGAAGCCATCCACATCGCACGCCTTCCAGGAGCCTATTTTTTTTTAATATGAAAGATAGATTATGCAATAGCAAACAAAATCTAAGTGAATTCTTAAGGTTAAAAACTGAGATTTCAAAAACAATTCGGATAATCATTCAACTACTCTACCTGCTGTCTCAGCCCTTTCAGATACAAGTTCACTGTTCTCTACCATCAGGGGCATCTTATTCAGAAAAATGTGGGACGCACTAATCCAGGACATCATATACTATCACTGCTTAGAATCACTACAGCAAAATAATGGTGCGTTACCATTTACACAGATGACACCTGTACCCCATCATCTGCAGATATTCTGAGTTGTCAATCTGGTATGAGGACAGACCTACTCTCTCTACCTAGAGGTATATTTCCTCTTACATCTCCTTTGTGTTCAACAGCACAAACTCAAAGGATGAAGGAGCTTCTCTAGCTCATTTGCAAATGAAATTCTTTCAAGTGTTGTATCAAAATAAATGTAAAATCTGACCAAATTAAAATTAACATCAAAAGTCAAATGGGTGAACTAAAATATTCACAGACTTTAAAGTTAGCTTATGTAAGATTAAAAGGTATAATGTCCCAATTTTCTATGAAAAATCACTAAATAAGCTCTATAATACAGTTGATGATGGTGATAACATCAGTCGTGAAGAATTTACTAGCCTTCAAGTAAGAAAAACAGAAACAAAGAGCTTTTTGATTACAGCAGTTTTAGGGTCATTTTAGTGGTTGTTTTTGAAAGAAGTATACCACACATGATATATGGCAACACAGATCCTTTTAATTCAATATATGTGACTTCTTGAATGTGAATTAAAAACTTTTTGCACATTCTCATGTAAGGAGTCTTTATATACTTTCACTTTTTACAAAACATCAAAATGCCAACTGCATGAGTATGTCTTATTAATGTGCTCTTATCAGTTAAGGTAAAAATAAACTAAATTAATATTTCCAGATTGCACTTGTCAAAAGCATCTGGGACACAGTGGGAAAAAAGAAAGAAAACTACTATCTTATCAAACCTCCATTTGGCCCCTTTTTCTTAATAAACAAAGTAAAAGACAAAGGTATTAGATATCAGAACAAAACCAACTACTTAAATCCAAAGTAAATATCTTTTTAACTGTAGCACTATATATAATAAAATAGAGATTGTTTTTTCTCAGTTCAGCCAAGGACAGTAAGTTCTCATTTAATGTCATCAAGAGGTTGTTGGAAATGGTGACATTAAGCAAAATATAACAAAACCATTTTTATGACAAATTATGTTGAATAAAATCATGTTACTCAAAGACCCGCTGTACTCATTTCATTTAAAGTCGTCATTTCCAAGAACCCATTGCTGACATTAGTGAGGACTTACTGTAGATGTAACTCATCCTTTCAGAAAATAAATAGCAAACTCTTTTGAACCTAGGAGATCACTGGCACCTGCAACCACCACACACTGGCAATGGAGATCCCCTCAGCTAAGGAACAGAGCTACTGAAGGACAAAGGGCAAGGACTCTTCCAAGTGTTTCTCTGATGGGGACACAGGTCATATTTATGAGCTGCTCCAAAGGTCTTTAAAGATGCACAAGTAAAATCATGTCAATTTTTTTAAGTTAACTTCAAAATTATGTGTAGGTTTTTAATGAAAAGTGAGAAAATTCATGTGCATGATAAGTTAAACTGCTAATTCACTTGAAAACAAAAAGGACACCTATCAAGAAACAGATGACAGAAAATAGAAACATTTATGTAATTCCCAGACTTTCCCCAGACCCCACAACTGTCCTCTACATGGGAGGCCTAAGTGACACAGCTACAAATGTGGATGAAGGGTGGTGGGTGAGGAGGCAGTGAGCAGGGAATGAGAGGCACCCTGTATTTTCACTTATACTGCTAGCAATCTTCAAGCTACATGAGAGCTGAGAGAAAATCTCCCAATTCCCATTTTTAAGGTAAAATCCTGACCTCTGGGGAGATTAAGTAATGATCCAAAGTTGCTCTTTCAAATGTTCCCAAATGGTGTCAGTTCTATTTCACATATTCATTCAAATATCTAAAAACTACATCAGTCACTGTTCTTCATAAACACAGGCAATTTTAAGAGGAATACTACTTATAAGATTTTATAGTCACCAACCTTGTCTTGCAAATTAGAGCCCAGATAACTAACTACCCATGTGTGTTCAGAAGATAATTTTAAGATTTAAATCTCAGTCATTTCACATTCACTATATAATAATCTCTCTCAAAAAAACTGCAACCAGTTCTTATGTGTTCTCTGACAAGAAAAAGATTTTTGTATATGGTGGGTAGGAATTAGACAGAAAACTGAGAATAAGAATTTAATAGCTAATTAAACTGCTGTTTATTGTTTACTGACAGATGGCTACAAATACCGCCATACTTTATATGATATTATCCCCAATAAACAAAATGTTCAAAATGGCTCCAGCTGCAGGGGGTGGAGGGGTCTTCATGTCCTGGCCAGCCACATAATACCTGCAACAAAGCCTGGATGCCAGCTTTCACATTTGTATTTTCCTCCTCTGTCACACATCCTCTGCTCATTGCACTTGTGAAGGAGTATGTGCGGCCCCAGCTGGAAGATCGTTTATGACCAGAACTTTCAGACGAGGCCTTCAGAAGATAATGATCCATTAACAGAGTGGAAGATGCACATGTTTAACTTACATTTAATTATAAGCATAATTAAATATATGAACTAATTTATATTTAGTTTGCATAATTAATTCCTTAAACTCACCAGGATTCACATGAAAATAGGTTCTAGGAGCTAGAGTGTTCCGCACTCAACCGTCAACACCTAAAATAGTGCTCAGCACTTAGTATGTGCTGAAGAATGAGTTGTGTTTATCCAATAATTGAGTGAGCATGGAATACAGACCTCTAAAATGAGTGATTAAGTAATTTGCTTACCTGTTCATTTAGATCTCATGATAGTTATTAAAATGATTTTTACCAATATTGAAAATTTTAAATTATGGAACAGATATTTTAAAGTGATATGCCTCTAGTGAAAAATTTTAAACATTTTAAATTAATTTCATAATAGTATGTCAGAAATATAAATATCACTTAAGTTTCTTTTGTTTCAGGAAGATGTTCTACTCTGTCATTTTGGATTTACCCAGCCTATAGCTTTATCTAACATAGACAGTGGCCCCTCCAGGAGGCCAGCACTCAGTGAGGCTTACAGGGGAGGGACACTGCTATTTGGTTAGTCCTTTCACAGGGGTAACACCCAGCTACTTCTGGTACAGGCCACTGCACAAGAAAAGTCTGCCCAAACATTCTCAATTTAGCTTCCCCTAATGATATTTATTTGAACAAGTCAAGGAGAAGGCAGTGATTTTTTTCAGTCTCACAGACATGTAGAATTTGATGGCTTATTAAATGACTCTCCTGTGACAGTGATGACGAAACAAAGATGGAACATGCAGATGGCCCTGGCTAAGGTTGTAGGAGATGACTGCCAATCTAGAATGGGAATACAAAAGCTACTCTCTGAGGTAGATCCTCACAGAACTCAGCAATTCAGAAGCATCAGACGGGATAAAAAAGAGACCCACCTGCCTTTGTCCCATTGACAAGACTCTTGACTGAGCAGGTATACTTTACTAAAATACACTTACCCTCAACTCAAAAGACAAGTGAAAAAAATTACCTCCTTGCTATCAGTCTCGGAAAATCCTAATTTTTCAGCATCTTCTTGGGCAACATCTTTTTTATCTGGCTCCTCCATGAACACAGGTTTGTCCTGGAGAATCCACTTTCTGTACACTTGAACTACTTTTCTTGTTACAGCTATCTCACAGGAAGGCAACAAAAATGCCTGAAAGGAAAAGAGAAAACTCTCTTTAACTACATTCAAACTCAGACCAGTATAGGGCAGCATCATGGACATTTCCAATGACAGTCACCAATTTCACTTTCCTGTGGAACATATAGCTTGTAAACACTGTAAACTCTACACAGGGCCACATATCTTTGTACACACCAAACTTACCTGCAGAAACAAAGACATTCTCATAACAGAACCCCCAAAAAATGGCCATTAAAAATAACTTTCATAGGCCGGGCATGGTGGCCATGCCTGTAATCCTAACACTTTGGGAGATCAAGGTGGGGCAGATTACCTAAGGTCAGGAGTTCGAAACCAGCCTGGCCAATATGGTGAAACCCCGCCTCTACCAAAAATACAAAAATTAGTTGGGTGTGGTGACATGCACCTGTAATCCCAGCTACTCAGGAGGCTGAGGCAAGAGAATCACTCGAACCCGGGAGCTGGAGGTTGCAGTGAGCCGAGATCACATCACTGCACTCCAGCCTGGTCAACAGAGCAAGGCTCCATCTCAAAAAAAAACAAAAAAAAAAAAAAAGAAAAAGAAAAAAATAACTTATATTCTGAATAATTTTTCTACAAATATAACCAAGGCATACCTATAGAAATATTTTAATTGGCTACAAAACACAATTATAATGCACAACTTGGAACTTTTCCCAACAAATCAGAAATAAGTTAGAAGGGGCATACTTGTACAGCCAGTGGCAAATAATTGTGCCCATCTCTTCTCAGCTCCATGGTCACTATGTCAGGGTGTTGGCCTGAATCAGCCATGGTGGGAGTGGTTCTACCACAGAAGTTAGCAACTGGTACAAATCAAAAGTTTGCTTCTTTTTTTTTTTTCCTTTTCTTTGCTTTTGTCCTTCTTCCTTTCCCTTCCTTCCTTCCTTTTTTATTATTTTTTTGAGAAACATGTATCAGGTCACATTTATCAGGTTACTAATGAGTTTGGCTGTCAATGTTAACAAGAGCCTCTGGCCAAGCTGTGGCATAATGCGTATTTATAAGAACTTTTTAACATTAAGGAATTCCCTTATACATCTCCACACAACAATTTTGATTTAATGTGAGAAGATTCCAAAAATGTTAAAGAATTTAAAGGAGAAATGCATTAGCCTTTTGCTTATCAATTTTAAGGACTATTTCTATAGTCGAGGAGAACAAGAAAAAAAGGTACCCCATACGCAAATGCTGTAATGTCACAGATTAGGATATTGAGGCTTACAGCACCAGAGGTATTCTTCCAAGTTTACAAAGTTAGCCACAAATCCAGATCTTGGTCTCAAGTTGCTGGGACTTGTTTTAATACTGCTCTTAAGGGTCACGCCACAGGATCCAGTTACAGGCAGTACTCACTTTAACAAGGGTTCATGCAATATATCAATATCAAGATAATGGTGGTATCAAAAGCCTAAGTAATGGGATTTTAAAATAAAATAACTCAAAAATGCAGCATATATGGGTTGGACAGAATGGACACAGCTGAAGAGAAAACTGGAAGAAAAATCAGAAGAAAATATCTAGAATGAACTATGAAGAGATGAAAGAATGGATAAATTGGAAGAGAGGATAAGAGAGAGAAAATACAATGAAAAAATTATCTTATGAATGATTGGAGATGCAGAAAAAAAGGAAAAAAAGATGGGGGGAAGAAACAATATTTGAAGAAAGAGTGGCTGAGAATTTAGCCAAAATGAGTGAACTATATCAATCCCTGGATTTAAGAGTCACAAAGAAAAACAAGGATAAATATGAAGCACATTACAGGTAAAACTGCTGAAAACCAAAGATAATCAGAAAAATCTCAAAAGCAGCCAGAAGAAAAAAGACATATTTCTTCCAAAACAGCAACCATATGGCTTTCCATGACTTGTCAAAGAAATAATGGAAGCCAAGAAATAATGGAACAAAAGATTCATGTGCAGAGGGCTGCCAGTGTAGAATCTGACACCCAGAAATAAAACACTTCTAAAATGAACGCAAACTACAGACGTTTTCAGATGAGAAAATTTGTTATCAAGAAACCTGAGCTAAGGGAAATATTAAAACTTATTCTTTAGATAGAAGGGAAATTTCCCCTAGTCAGAGATTTGGGAAGCAATAAAATACAATACAAAGAGAATGTGGTGGCGCACGCCTGTAATCCCAGCACTTTGGGAGGTTAAGGTGGTGGATCATGAGGTTAGGAGATCGAGACCATCCTGGCTAACACAGTGAAACCCTCTCTCCACTAAAAATACAAAAAATTAGCTGGGTGTGGTGGCATGCGCCTGTAGTCCCAGCTACTTGGGAGGCTTATGCAGGGGAATAGCTTGAACCTGGGAGGCGGAGGTTGTAGTGAGCTGAGATCATGCCACTGTACTCCAGCCTGGCAGACAGAGAGATACTCCACCTCAAAAAAAAAAAAAAAAAAAAAAAAGGAGAGAGAGAATGTGGATAAATTTAAATGAATAGAACATATATATGAAGATATATATATATAAAAGAATAAAACTGGATGAAACAAACTTTATAGTGGTTCTGAAAGGAATAGTATCTATGTATTATATATTCATAATAAACTGAGGAGTAAATGGAGCTAACATGTATACTGAGGGTAAAAGTTGGAATTAATGCTAGCTTTTAAGCTAGGAATGCATGTGTTAACTATTAAAATAAGTACAAATGACTGTAAAACTACTAATTTGAGAAGAAAAACGGGATATTAAAAACAATGAGCTTGAAGATCCAATATAACTAGAAAGTAAGAAGGCAGCAGACTTAAGCCTAATAGCAACTGCTATGTTAAATGTAATGAATAATCATCCAATCAAAAGACTAAGATTGGATTTAAAAATCTATTTAAAAGACTTAGCTACAACTTATAAGAAGACATCTAAAACATACGGATGGGGGAGGCTGAAAGTAAAGAGTTAGCAAAAGATAGACCTTACAAATACTAGTCAAAAGAAAATTGGTAAAGCTATATTAAAAATAGACAAGGCAGACTTTGTACCCCTCCACCCAAAACCAGATGAATACAGAAACTTCTTAATGACAACACTCAGTTCAAAGGAATATAAAATAATTCTAAATCTGTACTGCAATTAATAATTTTGCCAAAAATATAGCAAAAACTGATAGCCTTTCAAACAAAAACAGACAAATCAACAGTCAGAGAAGGATACTCTCCAAAAGTGGTAGAACAGTAAGCAAAAAAATAACGTAGCCAGAGGAGACATGAGCACCGATCGGACCTTCTCACCAGATCCTCCAGGTCTCAATCTCTCACAGCTCTCACCTCTCCGTCTCTCTGAGGTGCATTCAGGATCATTTCTTCAGATTTGTCATCCAGCTCATTCTCTCCTCAGCTGCATCTAATCTATTATTAACCTGACCCATTTAGGTTTTCTTTTAATATTCCAGTTATTACGTTTTTTTTGAATGTCTGGAAGTTCTATTTTCTTCCTAGTCTGCATTCGTCATCTATTTTGGTGTGTTATATTTCTTTATTTCTTTAAATATATTAAACCTATTTATTCTAAAGTCTCAATTATACAAATGAAGTCCTTGTGAGATTTTCCCGTTTCTTCTGATTTTTATGTCTAGAAAAGTTTTGACTTATAAATTCCCAAGTGGAAAAAAGTGACCCGAGATCACCAGCTAAGCTGCTGTTCATACGTAAGGGCAAAAGAAAAACCTTCCCCATCATAAAAGGACTTAAGGTGTAAGCGTTCCAACACATCTTCCTGAAAACGTTCAACGACAAAACAAGGCCAAGCAAGAAAAGTAAGTATTTTGGAACTATAGAAAGGGGAATGAATCTGTGTAAATACAGAAGCAAGACTAAACAACTCTGCTCACTAGGATTTGAAATCAACTGCCAATGACGGTACATTTATAACATAAGTGTATAATATAATAAAATTGGCAAATAGAGGGGGCTAAAGAAAATACACGGCTGCTAATTTCTTTATATTTCATAGCAGGAAACCCACAGTGCTATCCAAAATTACCACATGTAGTTCAAAAGTGATTCCAACACCCCAATGTTATTATAATCTTTTTAAGTTTAGACAAATCTTTCAGCAATTAATATTTCTTATGGTAAAGGAAAATTCATTGGATTTCAACAATCCCTTCAGTTTTCTTTGTCTTTTCTTCTGTTAAATTCAAGTAAAATTCAGAATTTTCATTAAGAATGAATGAACAGGTCAGGTGCGGTGGCTCACGCCTGTAATCTCAACACTTTGGGAGGCCAAGGTGGGCGGATCACGAGGTCAAGAGATCAAGACCATCCTGGCCAACATGGTGAAACCCCGTCTCTACTGAAAATACAAAAATTAGCTGGGTGTGGTGGCGTGCACGTGTAGTCCCAGCTACTTGGGAGGCTGAGGCAGGAGAATTGCTTGACCCAGGAGGTAGAGGTTGCAGTGAGCTGAGATTACACCACTGCACTCCAGCCTGGCACCTGGTGATGGAATGAGACTCTGTCTCAAAAAAAAAAAAAAAAAAATGAATGAATGAATAAAGAATTAAGGATTCCATTCTTATAGTTACTCTGTCAGTCCCTAACCCCACCCCAAGGCACTCTTCCATACCTTCCCTTGCGCTGGCCTTAATATCAACTGATATTAAGCATGAATACGACAACATTAATGTAGGGAATGGGGTAGATTTTAAAATCATGGACTATTATTAAAAAAAAAGTTTTGGCAGCATGAAGTGTGCAGTATTACCTAGAAAGGGACGACATAGAAGAAGGGGCGCTTCATGGACAGGGCTGCTAACCAGTCAAAGGAAATGGAGAAGAAAGGAGTGAGCAAAGCTCCTGTGAGACTTGCCCAGTGACTGTCACAGGAGGAGAGGGAGATGGGGAACCTAGGAGCATTAAAATTAAGATGCAGACATGAATACAGGTCCCTTTGAAGAATCAGTCAAGTCAGGAGGAGAAGCTGATATCAGGGGGAAAAAAATGAGCCATGCTTTGTCCTTGCTATCATTAAGATACTACAGGAGCATCAGATTTGATGGTAGGTGGGCATTTTAAAAGGTAAGTGTAGGAGGCACCTAGAGCCAGTTTGCCTAGGTGAAAATGTAGACAGTTCAGTGAAAATGTAGACACTGAGAGTCTGTAACTGGTTTACCCAGTCATTCTGCCTGAATTTTGCTGTGTGATTAGTGAGGTCTAAAAGACCTCTCTGTAAACTGTGCCCTGTCTTCCCTGAGACAGATATCTCACTTGCATGTTGGTAAATCATGGTCCTGAGAGGGCACTTTTCTGTGCAACAGAGGGAGGGCCCTCAAAGCTGCGCCCACGTGTACCCAGCCTCCACAGGGTTACATTATGCTTTCCAGCTCCTGGTGTTGGGTATCCTCTGCCAGTAACAAATCTTTCATGAGTATAAAAAAAAATTTTTTTAATGAAATAAATATTTTTATCTACAAATGAGGTCCAGACAAAAGGTTTGACTGGGAGCCATATGCCACAGTGGTTGCTGGCACTGGACGGGCAATAAAGGCCCCAAGGAGGCAAGTGTAGAGTTACAGAGAAGACTTGAGCCCTGAATCTTGGTTAACACCTGTAATTTGGGATGAAACAAAGAGGGGCCAAGACATGAAACAGAAGACACAAAGAGTGAGAAGAAGCAAGTCAATGCCGGGCCACAGAACAAGAAAAAATATTTTATAAGTGGAATTTTCATTGCAGACTAAACAAACATTTTCTCAAGTGAAATATTTTTCTTCATTAAAACGAAAATATGTAAAATCTCTACACTGCTATGGATTAGGTTGGAACTTTCATTATTGGTTGATTTTTTTGTAATGAAAGTCCCAGAAGTGAGAGGGCCAATCACTCACTGTATCAAAACTTGCCTCACCATAAGAAGTTCTCTGTGGTGCATTCCCGTCATTCACATGTACAGGATACACCTACAACTGGACTCTGCCATTCGAGGGCTTAACCTACTTTTCAGGTGTATGGACGAAAACAACTATTCCCCCTCATATACACACACCCACAAATAGGCCACATTTCCTGTTTTCAGGAGCACCAGTACCTAGAATCAAGTGGCACTGGCCACATGCCACACTCTAGAGCTGTGGGGGTTCTGCTTGCTGTGTTGAAGGCTAGAGCCGAGTTTCTCCACAGCAGCACAACTGACAACATTGAACCAGATAGTTCTTCGTCATGGTGGAAGTGGGGGCTGTTCTGGGAATTGCAGGATATTTAACGACATCCCTGGTTGCGCTGGCTAAGATGCCAGTAGCACTTTCTCCCTAGTTGTGATGACCAAAACTGTCTCCAGACACTGCTAATGTCCCCTAGGGAGTAGCCTCAACCAGTTGCAAACCTCTGATGCCACTCATGGCCGCTAACTGCAGCCTGGGCTTCTAACCTCTCCTGTCTCCTTCCTTTGCTCACACCTATTTTCTTGTGTTGGTCTCTGCTTTCTTTCCTTTTATTCCCCTTGCCCCCTTTTTCTCCTGTGCCATAAGTACTTCTATCATACTGTGTGTGCCACACGCCTCTGCAGAGTTTTTGCAGAAACCTCCAGCTCCTCAGAGAGCTCCCTGAGGCTCTGAGAACAAGACTGGACCCTTCTTTGCTATGTTCATTTGTTGCTGGGTATTCAGGAATGGCTTTCTTCCCACCTACCTCCAGGTTTACTTTGTTATAAAAACATGAAAGTATTTGTCTCATGATTTTGCTGAAGTATAGAATTTTCCCTCCTTGTGTAAATATTTTTCAACAACAAAATTTAAAAATCACAACAATGCATACAAATTAAAAGATTACAGGGATCATTCTTTATTATTCAGTTCTGTAGCATAACCCAACTCATCAATTCTATTTGTTGGAATGTTATGAGTAAAAAAACACGAACAAAAATCTCTTCCATTTCAAGAACTTGTAACATGCACGCGCGCACACACACACTAACCTGGTGAAATACTTCATTCACAAAATTGACATAACCTCGTGTTGACAAGAGAATCTGCTGTACCATTTCATACACTGTTCGGTGCTCTTCTTCAATGCTACAGAGGCTGGAGTTGCTGAGTCTTCGGTCTGACAGGGTGCTGCTGTTAGAATGGCTTTTGTCCTGCTCCGGGGGCCCACCACCATCCAGTTCAGGCGCTCTCTCCGGCATAGCGCCACCACCAACAGTCTGGAAGAAAGTCAGCACACTTAGTGATGCTCACCCCGACTCAAGAACACCTGGCAAAGCTTCAGTCTTGCCTTGTTTTAAGTAACTCTGGTTACCATCAACGTGCACAGGGTACAGCACACCAAAACCTGCAGCTGCCTGAAGCACAAGAGGCTCCAGAGCCCGTACTTACCAACTTTCTAACTAACCAACAAATCCCTCCCAACTCAGCTATTTTAAGAGGAAAACTACTAAGTTATTTCAGAAAGAAGGGCTGTGAAATTTTCCCAACCTAAAAGGTTTAATTTGCATTGTAAAACCACAGAATAAATTAATGTGCAAACACATTTGTATTATCATCACATCAGGCCTCTACACTTCAGCATTTGCTGCTGTGGTCACAGAGATTTGAAAATTCAGGCGATATCTTGCAGCAACTATGCTAGAATGCATCATTTCATTCATATGACTAAGCGGCACCTTGACAGTAGACTCTGAAGATCTTTAAGGGGTATTTTATCAGAAGGATGCTGATCTGAGTTTCATCCTCACAATCTTTAGGTCAAACGTAAATAAATATTTACAAAATTTTAAGTATTTAAAAGGCTTTAGATGTGCAAAGAAACAAAGTAATTCATGCAATCACTCACAAAGCTTAACACTGATTTCTGCTTTCATATCCACATAGAATTAAAGGTTTCCTCCAAACAAAATATACATATAATTTTGCTTAATCTTTGCAAACTGCATTATTACTTCAAAGTGTCAAAAATATACAGCCCAAATACAACTAAAATTTTACTTACTGTGAATATTTTTTACAAGAAGAGATAAGCCATGAATAGAACAAAACAGTAATTTCAGTAACTACCAAGGACAGTTTGAAAACAAAACAGATATTCAATAGTAATCTCTAGGAATAATTAATGGAAGATTATACTTGTAATACTTTTCTCTTCATGCCTTAGTTACTAAGCCTATGTGGCTTATCAAAGGCACTATCACAACGTGAGATGTGCTCGCCTGTGGAAATTATTTTATCTTTTTGACTGACCCACTATCTTCCACCGGAAAATAAAACTTTATTCATCTTGAAGCTTCAGTAGGAATGACCCAAGGATGAGTATGGTACAGAAAGAAGAGGCCCAAACTAGTCTCAAGAGACTTGCTTCTCCACATTCCTAACTGTAAGGCAAGCCACGTAACTCACTTAGATTTCACATATACACATACATGTATATTAATCTGCAGGACACAGATGCTAGATTAGGTCTAAAGTCTCTTATGGCTCAATAACCTGTGACTTTTTGACCCATAACTCCCATTTTCCCCACAAACTAAAAAAACAATATGCACATATATAGCAAATTAAAGATGACCACAAATTCTTTGACACTCCTTCCGCAGAGGTGAGGCCCATGTCCCCTTCCTTTCATCTGCATGGACTGTATGACTGCTTTAGCCAGTAGAATAGCGTGGAAGAGACCTGTGCCAATATCAGACCCAGGCCCAAGAGGCTGACAGTTAACAATTCCCATCTCTTGAAACATTTCACTCTTGGAGCCCTGAGCAGGCAAATAAGAAGTCCAACTATCTTGTTAGCAAGAAAACAGAACACAAAGTCCCAGATGATGCCAGCTTTCCAACTGCCCTCACCAAGTAGCAGGCATGTGAATGAAGTCATCTTGGACCTCGCAGACCTACCAGCATTGGAGGGCTGAATACTCACTTCCCCAAGGATGTCCATGTCCTAATCCCCAGAACATGTGAATGTGCTACCTTCCATGGCAAAAGAGACTTAGCAGATGTGATTAAGTTAAAGATGTTGGGACAGAAAGATTATTTTGGATTATCCAAATGGTCCCAATATAATCCAAGGATCATTATAAAAGGGTGGCAGGAGGATAATAGACAAAGGAGGCTAAGTGACAATGGAAACTGGGAGAAAAGGTGGTATGATGCAGGGCCACAGCCAAGGAATACAAGTGGCTTCTAGAAGCCGGACATGTCAAGAACACACGATTCTCCCCCTAGAACCTCAAGAAGCACAGACCTGCCAATAACTTGATTTCAGATTTCTGACTTCCACAACTGTAAGATAATAAATTTGTACTGTTTCAAGACATTAAGTTTGTGAGAATCTGCAACAGTGGCAATAAGAAACTAATATAACAACTTACTGTGAGGTACAGTGGCAGTCTCTACAACGTAGTGGCCATTTCTACGGACAGTCATGTGCAGGGTATGATAGCACAGAGGGCACAAATGGCTGTCAGCCCTCCTCCTCCCTACCAGAACCTCATTCCTCTGTGTGCCTCCTTCCATGCACTCCAACTGACTTGCAGGAAGCTAAACCATCCACAGTACTAGGGAACCAATTTGTTTCATAGAGGCCAATCACAATATCTCCTGGCCCACTCACACATCCAGCTTTAAGTGAAATCAGTTCCTAGTTACTGTTCCAGGGGGAGAGAGGTAACCTAAGTTGTTTCACTCAGACAAAAGGAAAGGGCTTTATATTTCTGGATCGCCTCTAAATGTGAACAAGAAAAGCAGTGCCCCAGCTGCTGGTGGCCATCTTACAATCAAGGGGGAAGCTGCTGCAGACAAAGCTCCCACAGGGAAAGGGCAAAACAGAGAGGATAAGACCACAGAGAATCAGGGAGAACACGTGAGTGAACCATATTCTCTGTGAGCCTCACCACATGCTTCTTTTTAGTAAGATTAAAGTATTTCTTTCACATTTAAGACAGTCTGAGCTGTGTTCCTTTTTCTGTGAGGATGACAGAACCATCCTAATTGATTCCTAAGTTCTAACCTTTAAGATAATTAAAAAGCTAAATAGTAAAAGTACATGACTCACAACTGTGATGAGTCAACTAAAAGAAAAAATGAGAATTCAGAAGCAGTGGTTAATTTGCTGCTCTTTCTACTTATCATCATACAGATGTACTTTTCAAGATTGAGCTACTTATTTTCAATAAATACAGGCGATGCTTTCTGATCTTTTTAAACTAGAAAGGAAAGGTTACACCCCTTAATTAAGACTTTTTTGAACTGAGTGATAATCACTTACAATGTGATGTAAAATTTACCAAAGAGCATGACTGAGTTTCTTACAAAATATTTCATACAGATTTTTGTCTGCCTGATAAGCGAATAAAGGTATCTCATCATAGTTCAGAACTAACTGCATTTCCCTGACTGCTGGTAAAATCAGGGGGTCCCTGGAGTCCATCTTCTATGAGCCGCACTTTCATCTTTGTCCAGTTTTCAGTGGGGTTGTCTTCTTATCAGTCCATATGTACTCTGTATAGCAGAGATATTAACTCTTTCAACAGTCATGACATTATCTAACAGTCTATTGATGGGATTTGGCCTTACGTTGTCTTTTGATGTAAAAATCTTTCTCCATTTTTTTTTCTTATTAAAGTCAAACCTCACTTTTTCCATGGCTACTGGGTTTTCTTTCTTTTCTTTTCTTACAGAGTCTCACTCTGTTGCCAAAACTGGAATGCACTGGTGCAATCTCTGCTCATCGCAACCTTCACCTCCCAGGTTCAAGTGATTCTCCTGCCTCAGCTTCCCAGGTAGCTGGGATTACAGGTGCCTGCCACCAGGACTGGCTAATCTTTGTATTTTTTGTAGCGATGGTATTTCACCATGTTGGCCAGGCTGGTCTCGAATTCCTGACTTCAAGTGATCTGCTGGTCATAGGCTCCCAAAGTGCTGGGATTACAGGAGCGAGCCACTGCACCTAGCTTATTTCTTTGTCTTATTTCTACTAAGGTAGTCTAACACTTCTCAAATTTAGACACTTCCTTGGATTTTCTCTTCTGTTACATTTCTTCATTATTTTGTTTTTATTGCAGACCTTAAATCAATCTGACATTTGCTTCAGTATGTTGTAAGAGGCAAGGTTCTAGCCAATTATGCCAACACTGTTAATTAATGACTATTTCTTCTGATCTTGACTGACATTCTGTGGGGAGATATGTATGTATGTGAAGGAGAGAGAAAAAGAGACTGCAGGGTTGCCAATTTGATTAGATGTTCAACACTAATCTCAGTCTCATTCCTTTGACATAATCTGTTTAGAAACCTATACTACTGTCTCTTAATTCCTGAAAATCAAATGTCTGTTTAGGTTTGTGCCTTGATAATTTTTCCTGGGACTCAAAGACCCTTTAAGTTTGAGGCATGTATTTTTCTTTTTTTCAGTTCAGATAAACTCTTATTATTATTTGTTCAATTATCCTCAATCTCTTCTTCTGCCCACCTAGTATTTGCAAGATAGGGACCTGTACTTAGGTCTTGTCTACTAATTTCTGATTTCTGTCTCTCTAAATTTTTAGTCACTGTGGTGGGATCTTTTTTCAGAAAACAAATTTTTTTCTCAGCAATAATCATTACCATTTTCATTTTATTTACTATTTTTTTTAACTAAGACATTTAAAGGTTTCTTAAAACTTTCTTTCAGTGTCTTTTGTTGTTCTTACTGTAACTGCACCTCCCTCAGACCTTGAAAATAAGTTTCTCCTCTAACTCTTCAGTGACTTCTCCCTAGTGGAGCCACATGCTCTAGACTCTGGTGTTTCTCCATCAAGGTTCCTAATGACACTGAAGCACAAAGGCCACTCATCTGCCTCTTCAGGTCTGTGTATTTTTTTAGCTCAGGCCTAAGTAGGACTTCTGGGACTTCCAGGGCATTGGCAAATCTGCGGTTAGTGGCCCACACTACCTTTCCCTGTTCTTGGGGACAATAAACAAAAGAGCACACAACACCATGATCCCTCAGTGAAGTGGCTGCTCTGACCTCCACAAGTGGTATTGCTCCACTAAGTCCCTAAGCAACTCAGCCTGATGGGAAAGCCCCCGTATGTGTCTGGCTGACCAAGACCAAGAGAGAAAAAGCATAGCAGGCTCCACGCAAGGAGAGGTCTCTTCTGAAGGCCTCAGGGAAGAGGTGGCCCTCTCTTCTAGGGACCTCACCATTGCTCAACAACCAGCCCAAAATCCTGAGCTGCTGATCTACTTCCCTCTCCTGAGATGCCAGAGGGCACTTAGCAGCCTCACAGGTCCTCTCCAAGGGCCACTTATAGTTTCCTAAGAGCTTTCCAGTTATTGGGGCTTGGTGAAGGCAAGACAGGCCTCTGTTCTCATGCCCAGAGGTCAATGGTATGCAAGTGAGGAGAATGAGGAGATGGCCCTGCACTCCCTAGATTGCGTCATCATGGCAATCCCAACAATGCACAGCAAGTGATTCAAAATCACAATTCCCTTTGAAACCTCAGCATTACAGACAGGGTAGGCCAATAAAATTGCTTACCTATAACCAGCAGTCTGTAAGAACCAATAACTCTAATAATCAGTAACTTTGGCTATGTTCTAGTGTATTTTTTACACAAACATTAAGAGATAAAAAGATGATGAATGGCATACCTGGATGATTTTAGGCAATACATCAACTCCATTTTTAGTGTTTTGTGTTGCAGTTAGATACTTTTTTTCCAAAAAGAAGGTTACAATCCACTTAATAAAAACAACACGAGCTGCCATATATGGAATTTTTGTACTGTAAATGTTCTCATTGTCTCGGGTTGTAGTAATGTACACTGGCTTTGGTCTCAAATGGGGGATGTCTGTTAGAAAAAAGAACACATGATTGATTAGGTTAGTGAATCATAACATTATGTAACTCCTACAAACGTTTTGGTTTCCAATTAAAAACACGTATTTTTGGTTGTCTAAATAGCAACTAAGAACGAAGGACCACAATGATTAAAAATGGCATTTTTTTTTGTAGGGTCATTTCTGATTCTGCCTTGTGATCTCACTGAGAATGGGTGGTAATGTGATTGTTTATGTATCTATGATATACAGCTATGGAAAAATTAAGCTAACAACTATTTTTAACAATTTTGATAAATTACATGAGACTAAAAATAGTGAAAATCCTTTCACATACATTATACCTAATTTTATTTTATTTTATTTTATAGCTGGAGCAAATGTAAAAGTATATATAAACTTTTAAAACATCATTTTAGGTATTTTAACATCTAACACTGCAGTGATTAAATCCACTGAAATTTAGAGTTTTATATCCTTTTCCCTTTAGATGAATCCAATGAAACAGAATCAATATCATCTACTTCATATTTAAAAGAATTCAGAAAGTCACATTTCATCTTTGAGGCATCAAATGCTACCTTTTCCAAAGACTTAATAAGAAGTAAATTTCTCATTCTTTAAATTCCACAATCAATATAAAAATTATTTGGTATTGGATCTGAGATACTACTTGATGTAAGTTCAACCTCTATCTTAATAATTTTTGTATATCTGGAATACCTGTATGAGGCAGAAAAATTATCAACAAATAACTTTTAATCTAGGAATATTAAGAATATATCATGTTTTTACAATGAATATGGACTACATATAAAATTAGAAACAAATTTTGAAAAAATACTCATATATATATATATATATATATATATATAGCTAAGGAAATACATGTCCCAGTACCCCTGAAAGTCAGTAATTCTACATCTTTCAAAATGCACCAAGTTTCGGCTTCTTTCCCCTTGCCCGTGTGTGTGTTTCTGTGTGTGTGTGTACACACACACATAGCACAGACAAATGAACCAGGCAGCCATGTTCCCCATAAGAGTAACATCTTGTGTCACCATTTCCTACTGCAAAACTGTTTTTAGTTATTCATTTAAACTAATTTTACCTGTTCTAAATAATAGGGAGAGGAAGATTTGACCCCCACCTTCACCACTCTAAGGGATGCTTCTATCCTGTGAGTCCTCATCTCTTACAAAAGAAAAAGACATTAGGAGCCAACTTAGAGATTCCTTTATGTTTCCTAGTCCTCTGGGGCTTACTGCCCATAGCTTGTTTAATCACCTAAAATTTGATCTTCCATAAGCACCTGTCAGTGGCAGCTGCTTGATGCAGGACCCAGCATAAGAGAAAAGGCATACAGTGGCAGCTGTGTGCCTTGGGGTGGCTTCCAGTCACTAAGCAAAGCCTGAGGTCACAATACGCAACCACCCACAAAGAAAGACTTTAGGAAATGCAGGTTTTTTTACATTAAAAGATGACAAATATAATTATACTAAAAATATCATAAATACATTTCCGAGTATAGGAGCCAGGTTCCTTTTTACTTCTGTGAGCTGAGGTATATCTTAGTTGGTACAAACAATTAAAACCACTTATTAAGAAACTTTAAACATCTAATAATAAGGTTACCATTCAACACAAAAATAAAATGACTATTTTACTTTAAAATAATCAAAGGTCACTTTGAAAGAGACTGCATAGCTTTCCTTTGGATATCCTCTATACACGGCTCCAACAGTACTTACCAAGTACAGGTTTGTAGATGTTTGTTAACTTAGTAAATGATGGAAATAAATGAGGAAGATAATACTTTCGAAACAATGTAAAAAGAAATTTAAAACCAGTATCTTGATTCTCCTTATTCTTCCACTCCAAGCTTGCAGCCTTTGGATAATATGTAGAAAAGAACATATGTATATTTATATTTCAAATTAACATGTACTAAACTGAAGTGCGTTATGTTACTAAAATTCCTATCCTAAACATAAAAAAATGACAAATAATACTGATAACCATGTAATGAAATCATAACAAAGCTCAAAAGATGACAGGAATGAATACTTCAAAACAAAACAGTAACTATGTTAGAATGATATCATATCTTTTACAACGTGCTATAATATATCATCCCCATATTTTTAATCTATGTTATTTCTAATTACCTAATATCCTTGTGCCTTTAAAACATTAGTTACAAATAATTGGTGCTTTTTTCTAAACTCAGAAAAAGGCCATTTATAATAAACAGAAATTAAAGAAACAATCCCTCTCAAGAATTTCATCCCATGTTACCTACATGCATTATCAATATCAAAAGGCAAAAGCCATGGAATCTTGGAAAATGCATTCTCCATATTAAAAAATTGAAAGGCTAAAATAAACCAGGCATGCCAGTCCACTATGGATTAAGTTTAAATCTTTTACAGTGTTGAGATAATATTCTCCCCCTCAAAAACCCATCAGTGTTTGCAAGTGGGAGCACTCCAAAATTGTTCAATAGATGGGACCACACCTCAGGAGCCAGGAGGACAGCCTGGTTACACAGGTGCAGTCAACCCCACATGACTTAGGGAAAACGCAGCCCTTAGAGAAGGCCTGTCAGTGGTTCTAACACTTCTTAGACCAGATAGCACTCTAAAGCAGGGCTTCCCACTTCCTTCCTGACATGCCCACTTAGAAAATGAAATTTGTGCAGCACATGAGGTAAAGGGATGAGGTGCTTTGGCTACCCCAGGGGCAGTGGGGCTCAGTGTCCATAGCCTGTCAAAAGCTGTGCTCTGAAAACTCATCTCAATCGACAGAAGAGAAGGCAGAAGGACGGCATGGATATGCACCTAAAATCCTTCACACAATTAGGAGGTTCACAGACTGCATGCAAACCTCTATCCTGTATCAATTCCATCTGCCTTATCTGAGGTCACACAGCTCATTAGTGACACATCTAAAATGAGAACCCAAGGCCCCCAACACAAGTTCTGGATACTCTGTTGATTTTCCAGGACAAATGGAATGTCCAACCACTTCTGAACAGCTGGCATTTGAGATGAATCTAGAAATGGGCCATTAGAATTCAAATGTGGAGTTTCCAGAATATGAAAGCATGCCTCAGTCAGGCTCTATTTGAAGTTCTGTGTTTCTGTTGCTGGCTAAAGGGAACGGGGTGAGAAAAGGGGAAAAAACTGCTGAGTATTCAGAAAGAGCAGCCAAGTACTGAATCCTGACAATCAGTAGAGAAAAGCATAGTTCCCTAAAGAAAACTAGAAAGGAGTGAAAGGAAGGGAGGATAAATACCAGAGAAAATATCAGGAGAGGAGAGAATCTCATGAAGGAGGGGTAGTCAAATCCCCTCAAAGAACGAGGAAAGTAAAACCTGAAGCATACCCTCCCTCTGGGCTGACCCTAGAATCTTTGTGGTTTGCAGCATGCCACTTCAGCAGTCACAGGGCAGAAGGCAGCGAACAGTGGGTATCGAAAGAGCATGAAGTGGGGATGTGAACTCAGCAGAGATTATTATTTCAACAACTCGGTTGTGAAGGGGAAGACAGATACTGGACAATACCCAGGATGAACTCAAGGACAAGAGAAGTATTTACTAAGAAAAAAGAATCAGTACATTTTATTCTATTATTTAGAAATCTAGACCAGGAGTCACAAATCTCCTATTAAAAGCATAAACCAGCTACTTCAGTTCTGTATGTAGTTGGTGCATATGAGAAAAAATAATATGTGACATAAAGGAGACCTATGCCAATGGCATGAGGAGATTGGTCCATGTGCTTTCCTTTAGTCCCCTGGTCTGCTCTGCCTATTCCTGTTCACCTGTTCAGCCTCTGGGCCCACATCCTCCTTCAGCCTGTCTTGCAAGCATAGAGATTAGGGGTAGAAAGGAGTAAAGAGAGAAAAATGGTTTAAACACACTCACAAAATAGTATACACAGCTGGTCTTGCTGAAACGACCTAACAAATGGTACATACTCTGCGTTTGCTGAAATATCACATAAAATCACCTCAAAGAAAAAGAAAAAGGAAAAAATATGGATACATAGAGAGAAAAGAGGCAGTATTTCCTCATTCCTATTGAGAATAAACCCATCACTGAAACAGTCATAATTTTTCTGACCTGAATAACCATATACTTCAACAGTATTTGAAGAAAAAAGCAGGTTTGGTCCTCAGCAATCTTCTCCCCCGACACAGCTGGCAGGAGCGGAGTAATTTCTTCTGGATATATCTTTACTGAAAGTACAGAAAATGATGAGAGCTCATTCACCAAAGTCAAATTTTAAACAGAGTTTAGGGTTTTAAAAACGGTCTCTATTAAAATACTGGAGCTGCTCACGCTGAGCTCCAAGGCAGTGTGCATAAAGAGCCTAGAAGCACAGTCCAGATGCCCATGAAGCACCCTCTCCCACTGCACCATTTTTTCCCTTTCAAACTCTGCTTTGGTCAGCCCAAGATCAAATGCCAGTCATTGAGCAATAAAGCAATATACAGTAATAAATCAATGGTCCCAACAGGCAAGTTGGGACCTTGAAAACTCAAAGGACACAAATGGCCACCATTAATAGTCCCATGAGGCTACTACTGTCCTTCCATAGATACTGCAGGAAGATACACAGTGGCAAAATAAGATCGTAGTGAGCAGATGAGTGTCCACTTATGAACAACAGTGATATGAACAACAGACAGTAGCTCTGGATGGTGGAGTTTAATCTCACTAATAGCCAGAAAACCAGTCCAGACTTCCCATGTGTCTCTACTTCCTTCTACTGCCAACATCTGTCCCCTCCTTCCATTCCTGTTTCCATCACTTCAGTAAATTTCTCCTGTCATCATTTCACATAAAATAAGCTCCAAGTCTTTTGATGCTAAGGTGTGGAAGGATCTACTGTGAATATGAAAGGGGAATAATTCCTTTTCAGACTCCATTAGGATTTCTATTCAAGAAAATGAAAAAGTAAGAATTCCTTAACATAAGTTCAAGAGTTAATTTAAACATGGGAGACCTGCTAACATAACTTACCATCAGCTACACCAGGGCTGGGATTGATGAGTGTCTCCAGTGTGCAAGGGCCCTTGGATGACATGACTGCTGGGAAACCAGGCACCAGGCAAGCAAAAATCAGCACCTGCTCTTCTGCACAGTTTGTCTGAAGTGCTTGAAGCCACAGAAGAAATAGCCTGATTCCTTCGCATCTTATCTAAAAACAAAATTAAAAGCAATGAAAATGAAACACTTATATGTATTTACAGAAATGCACTGCAATGTAGCATCAGTCTTGAGAAAGAAAAACTACAAGTGAAAGGTTTGTTAAGTAGTACACCAAGTGCTTCACTTAGTGACAAATAAGCAAAAATGCTGCAATACAGCACAAGAGTTAAGAGCTCGAGTTCTGGGGCCAAAGTGCCTGGGTTCAAAGGCAGGCTCCGCCACTTTCTAGCTGGGATCCATGGAGGACCACATAATTCTCCATGCCTTAGTCTCCCCATCTGTAAAATAAGGATGGAAAGAGCACTTACCACGAAAAACTATGATAAAGACTGAGTTAACATATGTACACCACACAGTACAATGGCTGACTCCCAAGTATTTCCTGTTAATAGTATCTTATTCCGTAAGGCAACAGTACCCATGGTATCAATGTTCAATTATCCATAAAAACAATGACAAAGATAATCTCACCTGAAATTTACATGTGCTATCACTATAATATACCATGTTGATAATGTTCTTGAGAATCAGAAGACTTGGAGCTAAATAAGACCCTGAAGGCCTAGCTCAATGAGACAAAGCAGCTCTCCTTATACCTTCTATCACTATTCTATTTCTCAAACACCTTTGCCATGTTCTGAATTCCTGGCATCACGCTGCAGAAAACATCAACACAGGTAGATGTGGCCTTTTTCTTCTTTACACTTTCAAATTCATCCCATTCCTAAAATTCAAAAGCACATGTCTCTCCATTTCTGTACTCCTGAGTGACTAAAAACATAATGTCAATTTAAAAAAAAAACAAATTAGCAAAAGAGATTGAAAAAATGTCACATGCGGCTGAAAGATGGAGTGAGCTCCAAATACCAGCAACTACAGTGACTGCCTCATCTCCCTTCAATTAATTCATGGTGGTGGTGACTCCACCAGAGCAAGAACACTGCAAGTCAAACACAAGGCTATGCCAGAAAACCAAACCAAAAAGGGGAGAAGAGCCAAAATAAAAATATTCTGCTGACTTCCAACAGAAGTAAAAACACACTAGGACAGACAACCCAGCTGGTGACAGTGCTACCTCATTAACAGAGTAAATTCACAAATTCACAGCATACTTCGAAACATGCTCCTGGACTCCACCACTGCACTGCTCTGCTCTGCACAAACTTCCATGCCTGCTCACACCTGTCCTCCTTTCCCCTCAAGCAGGTCAAATGAGTGGTAACATTACTATTCAGCCA